CAACAGCCGCAATTTCGGCAGCCGTTCCAGCGGCACATCCGCATCGAACCCCACTCCACCACCACCCATTCAGCAATCGGATCAGTCGTCGCAGCAGCGAAGGTGGTACTTGTCGGCGGAATTGCCGTAAACCACCACGACAACGGCGTCCTGAGTGGCGGTGGCGGCCCCGGCGTGCCGTCACCACAATTACCACAGGAGTGGCTGTGGAAGTAGGCGTAGGAAACTTGAGTATCATGTCGGCGTGGGCGTATGATCGTGTGGGCGTGGGCGTAGATGTTGGTGTTGGTGTAGCCGTATTCGTTGGGTGGAGTGGCTGTGCAGTATGTGTCGGCTTTGGCGTTCAGTGTCATTGTTTGGTGTGCCGTATTCTTTGGCGTGGGCTGACTGTCGGTGTGTTGGTTGCAGTGGGTGTGGCACTGGCATCGGCGTTGGTGTGCGCGTCGGCGCTATCCTGCGCCCATGCTGTCTGCGAACTCCCACCAGTGGCGATACCGTCACGTCGAATCAGCCTAGCAGTGGATAGTCCCGAAGTGCCGAAGTGGTCCCGCAATCTTCGCGTCACCCTCGTCAAGTCCCGTCTGCATTGTCGAGTCTCTATCCCAGTCGATGTAGAGCCCGTGATCGCCCGTTGGCGACCGTTGTAATTGATCGCGTTCTGCAGCACCTCACTCGCAAGTGTGTGCCTCCCGATGTCGCCGCTATGCGGCCGCTGCCGCCTCGACCCGTCCTAGTTTGCGGCGTCCGCGCTACGCCGCTAGCCCAGCATCCGATTTTTCGATGTCCAGAAGCTGTCGATGATGGTGTGCCGTCGTTTGATGCTACGCCACGCGCCAGTCGCTCGTTCTCCCGACGTCTCGCTGTGGAATAGACGGCGAATAGGTGCGCCATTTGCGCCAATCAGGCCACCGGAAAGTATTTCCCCTCGTCTCCCCGTGGAGTAGCTTGCAATGAGTGTGCCTTTCGTTTGCCCCAATCAATCCACCCGTTATATGTACGCCGGATACACTGCCGGTGGCCGTACGTAGCAGAGACGGCGCCCCAATTGCGTCGACCAGTCCGCCGATGTCTGTCCTCCGTCACCCTGCAGTGGCGTAGCAATGGACTATGGGACCGGCATAGTTCACCCCAGCCAGTCCACCGGTTAAGTCAATCCCTGTCACATAAGCATTCGAAAACTGAGGTAACCGGTGAATTTCCACTGATAGTCCCGACGAGGCCGCCCACGTTCGTGCTCCCACTTACCTTTCCCGACGAATGACTATTCCTGATTTCGCCGAGGAGTGATGTCCGACAGCCTCCAACATCCTTGTCTCCTTGCACCCTGCCTGAGACATAGCGCTCGGTTTATCCTACCTAGTTATGCCCGACCAACCCACCTACTCTGCTTTCCCCCGGACATTCCACCGAGATCAGACCTATCCGGCGTATATGCGAATGGCGAACTCACGACGGGTAATCCGAGCAAGCGGTGCTGCCAGTGTCAGAGGCTCCGCGCCGCTTGATGTACAGATTGGCGATTGTGAAGCCGTTACCCTCAAATGTAGCGTCGAAACCACTGCGATCGCTGTAAATGGGCATCCAGCCGGCGCCGGTGGTCCAATCTTTGTTCACCACACCCGAGGCGTAGCTGCCGTCGCTATTGAAATCCAGATTTCTGGTTAGCTCATATCCCAAGCAGAACCCTTCGCAGCCCATAGTATTCGCCGCCTCGGGAAACGCGGCTTCGTACACTTCCCTGGCATGGCCGTCATCCGCGATACCCACACCAAACGGGTCCCAGCGCATTGCATCCAGCTGCTCCAGGTAGGTGATTTCGATGAGACCGTCGCCGTCGATGTCGTAGTCAATCGTCGTCTGAGCGCTGACGCTTTCGCCGCCGATCAATCCTGCGGGTAGGAGCGCCGCCGCCAGAACGATAAGCGCCGAGCCAAAAGCCGCTCCCATCCACAATCTCATCAATGAATCCCATCCCCTTTACCCTGTTCATCGATGTCAGGCACACCCAGCTCCACCCTACATCGGCGGTCTCTGCCACCCACCAAGCGCTCCCTCAAGATACTGCGCCACGGCAAGCGACACATCCTCCCGCCACGGTCGCGCCACCACCTGCACACCGATAGGCAGGCCATCCGGCGATGTGCCGCCGCGAACTACAGTCGAAGGCCAGCCCGTGATGTTGTAAGTAGCGGTATAGTTTATGCCCGATCGATTCTCGTCTGTCATCGATTCACCATGGGGCAGTGCGGCGAACGCAGACACAGGGCACACGATGACATCGTAGTTCTCCATGAAGCCAAGCATGGCGCTGCGGTAGGCATCTACCTGCTCCAGAGCTGCCGTGTACTCGCCCACGGAGACCATGTTCTCGCTCGCCTTCTCCAGAAGTCGCGTCATCCACTCATGAGTCTCGGTCGTGCCATACTTCGCCAGCAGTCTGCGTGCTCCGGCCTGGCCGTCGCCTTGGCTCAGCTGGTTGTTTATGTCAGGATTGTCCGGAATTGCTCGCGGCAGGTCCTCTTCAACCAAGCAGCCCGCGTCCTCGAGGGCATTAGCGGCCGACCGCACCGCCGCGACAATCTCATCAGTGGGTACACGCAAGCCGTTGTCCGTGTAGAAGGCTACTCGCAGCCCGCTGATGTCCACGTCCGCTGGATTGCCAAGCGGCATCGGAACAATGTGTGGATCGTCCCAGTCCGGACCGGATATGATAGACAGGATGAGCGCAAGATCCTCCACATACCGCGCCATTGGCCCGTTCTGTGTCAGCGAATCGACCGCGCCGAAGCTATGCGGCACGATATGCCCGGTGCGCGGCACGCGCCCAGAGTTCGGCTTTATTCCCGTAATGCCGCAGTAGTGAGCCGGTCCGCGCACGCTGCCGCCCGTGTCACTGCCGATGTCGAATGCCGCTCCCCCGCAGCACACGATAGCCCCCGCGCCGCCGCTGCTGCCGCCGGGGGCACGGCTCAAGTCGAACGGATTATTCGTCCGCCCATACACCAGGTTGTCCGTCTCGCCTGCGTATGTAAGTTCAGGCGTATTCGTCTTCCCCAGCAGGATGCCGCCCGCAGCCCGCAGCCGCGCCGTCACCGTCGCATCCGCATCCGGCACAAAGTCCTTACGACCCAGCGTGCCGCCGGTAGTGATGATGCCCTCGGTATCAATCGAGTCCTTCAGCGTAAACGGCACGCCATGCAGCGCTCCCTTGCTTTCACCGCGAGCAAGCGCAGCGTCCGCTTCCACCGCCTCCGCCCGTGCCCGCTCCGCCGCAAGCTGCACCACCGCGTTCAGCGCCGAATTCACCTCTTCGATGCGTCCCAGATGCGCCTCCACCAACTCCACCGCCGACACTTCCTTGTCCCGAACAGCCTGCGCCATAGATTTCGCCGATGCGTAGATGATGTTGTCCATTATCGCCCTCCCCGAACTATTCCGAATTACCGTGCGTGGTGAGTTTGCCGAACCATCCTGCCAATCCCGTGCAAGGATGTCCGTTTCTAAATCGGCGGCTTCTGCCACCCGCCCAGCACACCTTCTAGATACTGCGCCACCGCCAGCGACACATCCTCGCGCCACGGCCGCGCCACGGCCTGCACGCCAATCGGCAGGCCTTCCGGCGATGTGCCGCCTCGTATGACCGTCGAGGGCCAGCCCGTGATGTTGTATGTCGCCGCGTAGCTCATGCCCGGCTGGTTCTCGTCCTTCAGTGACTCCCCATGCGGGAGCGCAGCAAATGCCGCAACCGGGCAGATGATGACATCGTAGTCCTGCATGAAGCCCAGCATTGCGCTGCGGAAACCGTCAACATGCTCCAGCCTCGCGGTAAAGTCACCCACAGACACCATATCGTCCTGCGATCTCGCTATTCGCCGCGTAAGATAGGGGAAAGTCTCCGTCGTGCCCCACTTCTCAAGCAGCCGATTCGTCCACGCCCTGCCGTCGCCTCCCGATAGCTCATTTGATATGTTCGGGTTCTCGGCAATGACGGATGGCACATCCTCTTCCACCGAGCATCCTGCGTCAGCAAGCGCATCAGCCGCCATCCGCACAGCCGCTACCGTCTCCGCCGTCGGCGTGCGTATGCCATTGTCTGTGTAGAAGCATACGCGCAGACCACCTAAATCGACATCCGCAGGATCACCTAGAGGCATCGGTACGATAAACGGATCGCTCCAGTCCGGCCCCGATATAATAGGCAGGAGAAGCGCCAGGTCCTCCACATACCGCGCCATCGGCCCGTTCTGCGTCAGCGAATCGACCGCGCCCATGCTGTGCGACACGATATGGCCGGTGCGTGGCACGCGCCCGGAGTTCGGCTTCAGCCCCGCGATGCCGCAGAAGTGCGCCGGATAGCGCACACTGCCGCCCGTATCGCTGCCGATGTCGAACGCCGCACCCCCGCAGCACACGATAGCTCCCGCGCCGCCGCTGCTACCCCCGGTCGTACGATCCACGTTGAACGGGTTGTTCGTCCGCCCGTACACAAGGTTATCCGTCTCGGCGGCAAGCGTAAGCTCCGGCGTATTCGACTTGCCCAGAAGTATGCCGCCCGCAGCTCTCAGCCGTGCCGCAACCGTCGCATCAGCATCAGGCACGAACTCAGAGACTCGCCGCCCAAAGTCCCGCCGCCCGTCGTGATGAATGCCCTCAGTGTCATCGAATCCTTCAGCGTGAAAGGCACGCCAATGCAGCGCACACCCTTACTCTCTAGCCCTCTTGCAGACGCGGCGTCGCTTCAGAGCCGCCTCTGCGCGTGCCCGTTCCGTTGCCCTTTCCAGGCCGCAAGCAAGCTCACACTGGCGTTGATCGTAGTGGTCACTACTTCTCGATCGCGCGCCATGTGGTGGGTTGCGCCTCCCACCAGTTCCACGCAGACACTACCTTCCTTGTCCTGAACTCGCCCGCGCATAGTTCTCCTCGCCGATGCGTAAATACTCTCGTCAGCTCATCTCCTCGTAATCGCCAATTATTTACACATACAAAGATTATCAGTCAATTATCTCATGGGTGTAATTGCGCAGACTACTCGTCACAACTACCGTCAGTACCGACGCAAAACGTCGGTTGATTAGTAGTGCCCAGCTTATGCAGCTGTTTCTGTTCAGGTCCCCGCCATAAGGATAGGAAGAAGCAATTGTGGCGGTATCGAATTTAAGACCTATGACAGCGTTAGCTCCTATTTGTCTAGCCGTTTCTGACATCTGGCGAAGGGCTTCCATGCGAGCTTCGAAGGAGTCGGTGTGATTGAAGGGGCGGGTCTCGTTCTTAAGGCCGAAGAACGTTTTTTTCCCAGTCTCACGTTCAGTATTCTGAGAATATGATGCGCCACAGACTAAGTCCAACACTTCTAGAATATTCCGCCCCGGAATCAATTCAGTTGTAACGCAGATCACACCATAATGTTGTTCGATCACCTTCGCCTCCTTATGCTAGACACTAAAGGGTAAGTTACTAAATCGCTTACTCAAGCTTTAGATCTCTAGTAGTCAATGCCTCTTAGTTCAAGCTCTAGAACACATCCGCCATCATCATGTCAGCATAAGTCTCCCGCCTCCGAATCAGCCGCGCGTCCCCATCCTTCGCCATCACCATTGCGGGTCTGCCGTTCAGGTTGTAGTTGCTCGCCATCGACGGCGCATAAGCCCCCGACGACGGAATGGCGATGATGTCTCCCGGCTCCACCACTGGCATCGTGATGTCCTTGACCAGCACATCGCCGATTCACAGTATTCCCAGCCAGCGTAACACACCTCGGCAGGCGGAGCCAGACATCCTGCTCGCAGCACAAGCCTCATATTCCGAGCCGTATATCGCGGGTCGAATGTTTGTCGCCCATCCCGCCGTCCAGCGACACGTACTTCCGTACCGTCGGGATGTCCTTGATACCCCCTACTGTGTACAGAGCAACACCAGCGCGCCCCACAATTGATCGACCCGGCTCCACTACCAGCAGCGGCGTCCCAAAGCCCAGCTCCTCGCACAGCCGCGAGGTGTACTTCGTGATTGACTCGGCGTACTCAGCAATCTGAGGCGGCGGCTCGCTTCGCACATACCCGATGGCGAATCCACCGCCTGGGCTGAATATCTCCAGTCGGAGCCCCTCTTCCTTGAACTGCGTCAAATAGTTCAGTACCACCTCGACGCCCAACTCATACGGCTCAAGCTCAAATATCGGCGACCCTAGATGAAAATGTATGCCCACAAGGTCCAGGTTAGCCGCCGACATCGCCTGCCGTATCGCCTTGGCTGCGTCTCCCGTCTCTATCGAAAACCCGAACTTGCTGTCCAGGATTCCCGTCGTAGTCTTCTCGTGCGTATGGGGATCAACACCTGGCGACAGCCGCAGCATAATGTCCTGTCTTACGCCCCGCTCGCCCGCGATGACATCCAGCACTTCCAGTTCATGAAAGCTGTCCACCACAATCTGCCCGATGCCATAGTCCAGAGCGAACTCCAGCTCCTCCGGCGTCTTATTATTTCCATGAAAATATATGGTGTCCGGCGGAACATCAGCAGCCCGCGCCACCGCAAGCTCGCCCCCCGACACCACATCCAGACCCAAACCCTCTTCGGCAACGATTCGCGCGATAGCCGGATTCACGAACGCCTTCGATGCGTATGCGACTCGGCTATTTGGATAGCGCGTCCCGAACTCCATTCTGAACTCGCGGCACATCCCCCGCAGGGTATCCTCGTCGAACACATACAGCGGAGTCCCGAACTCCGCCGCCAGATCCACTACATCGCACCCGCCAATCACAAGGTGGTCGTCCTCATTCACCTCCGCCGTAAACGGAAAGAGGCTCACATTCTCAAAGCTCATTTACCTACTCCATTACGATGTCTGTTTCTCCACGCCCATGTATATCAATCGGAAACAATAGCAAATCGCGCCAGAAACTAACTCCCACTCTATGCTTCCCAAGTGAGTTCAGCAAAAGAAAAGACCCTGACATGCAGGGTCTTTTCGTTCAACTTCAATTGTGGCCGGCAATGTTCATTACAAGGCTGTTTTAGGCATTTCCTTCGTCGGGTCGAAGAATGGAACGCGGACCACCTCGGCGTCCACAATGCCGTCCGCAGGCAACTCCACCTTGACGCCGGTGCCCTGCCTCCAGTGCGAGCGCGGCATCACCGCAAACGCAATGTTCGACCCCATACTCGGCGACCAGAACGCGCTGGTGACATAGCCCACATCATCCCCGGAGTCGCTGTCCTTGACGAGATAGAAGCTCTCGTTGTACCAGCTAATCGGCTCGCCGCCCATCTTGAGGCCCACAAGTCGCTGCTGCACCCTCTCTTCCTGATTTTCGCCAGCGCCTCGTGCCCACGAAGTCGTCCTTGCTCAGGTCACCTGCCAGCCCAGTCGCACCTCATACGGGTTGTTCTCGATGTCCATGTCCTGCCCGTAAGACAGTATGCCCGCCTCCAGCCGCCTGATGTGGCTCGGTGCTATGACACGCAGGTTGAACTCCTCGCCCTGCTCCAAGATGTGCGGCCACACATCATCCGCGTACAGCATCGCGTCGTGCAGGTATATCTCGAACCCCACCTCAGCGGAGAACCCCGTGCGGGAGATCGTTACCTCGCGCCCGTTCAGTGTCGCCCTCAGCAGCCCGTAGTACGGGATAGCTCTGATCTGCTCACCGAACATCTTCTCCATCAAGTCCACCGACTTCGGCCCCTGTATCTGCACAGGCGACACATCGATCTCGTTGATGCTCACATTGAACCTGCCCGCATGATTCACTCCTTGCGCCCACAACAGCAGGTCCGAGTCCGAGATGCTGAACCAGAACTCATCCTCCGCCACGCGTAGCAGCACAGGGTCGTTGATGACGCCACCGTACTGGTTGCACAGAATTACATACCGCGCCCGCATCGTAGGCAGCATTGTATGCACATCCCGCGTAATGATGTAGTTCACGAACTCTGCGGCATCAGGACCCTTAACCTGAATCTGCCGCTCAACCGCCACGTCCCACATGCTGACATGCTCGGTCAGATACTTGTACTCCTTTAGGAGCCCCCCGTCCTCGGGTTTGATATATGCGCGCGGGTGGTACATGTGGTTGTAAGTCGTATATGCCCAGCAGCCGGCAGCCTTTGAAAGATGCCACCACGGGGACTTCCTGATGCGAGTGGAAATCAGCATCTGGGCGTCGCTGTTTCCGCTCTGTCGGAGGTTGATCGGCAATTTACGCCGCTTAAGACCGTCGATAACCAGAGTTTGCGCCACTTTAGAACCTCCGTTATATGGCTCTATCACCAATTCAAAATGACACACCAACGCGGATAAATAACGCTCCCTAAACTCTACGCGCCTCCTTCACTCCTCTGTTTCAATAACCCAGTCCATCATGCGCTTGCCCCGGTATCAGGCGACATCGAAGGTCGTCTCTCCTTTCTCCGAGACCTCCTGACTCGTTCGCAAGTCCACAAGCTCGGATGCGCTGGGCACGCCGGTCGCGTCAGCCCGCTCCTTAACTTCTCGAACATGCCCAGTCTCCCATCGCGGCCCTGTGGGATCTCGAGAAGGTTCCCGACGAACTGCGTCAGCAGCTCGCCGGCACCGAAGTACCCTTCCCCTTGAGTGGAGTATCCCTCCAGGTTCTCGCTGCCCTCGCCAAGCACCTCCCCAGTCCCACATAGTGCTCCATACAGCCGCCTTCATCCCATATTCCGCTGGATCGGGCAGACTATCATGCAGACCGCGCGCAGCCGTGATAGTAACCATCACAGGGCGGCAGCGGTCGTATATGAGCTTGTTCCGCTCGACTCCTCTCCACCAGACCTTGTCTCGTGGAATCGCTCGCCCCGGGCACCGATTGACGCACACCTGGCACTGCTGGCAGAACTTATGGATGCCGTAGTCAACAGGCTTGTCGTAGGTCAGTGGCGCGTCGGTCGTTACCAGCATCAGCCGCGACCGCGAGCCGAAATGCGGCGACAGGAGTTGACCGTTCGCGCCTAGCTGTCCTAGTCCGGCCGCAACGAACAGGGGGATGTACGGCCCACTGCAATCGCTGCCATCGTGAACCTGCGCGTGGTAGCCTCTCGACCTCAGGTAGTCGCACAGCTTCAGACAGAGCTCCTGCTCCACTTCGTAGGTCTCAAAGCGCGCGATATCAGAATCTGGGCTGGGCCCGGCCTGAGTCTTGATATAGTCCTGCTCCATCGCAAGGCAGATGGCATGTTCGTACTTCGCCCAGCGCTTCTTGCCGCCGAAAGTGTAGCGCCGGTCGTACCGGGTGAAGCCCACCTCGCCGAAGCCCATCTCTCGCGCCAGCCGCCGGATGTTGTCCGTGAGGTCCTCGCCGGGCACGGGAGTCACCGTAGGCTCGACCTCGCCGGAAACCAGCGCAGCCTCGAACATCGGCTTCATGCGCTCGTCATGCCCCTCTCTGAATTCGTCGAAGTCCTTCGACTGCGTCGCCAATGCCCACTGCCGATCGGCGGACTTCTCGATCGCCTGTGTCTCCAGCGGATACTCCCTGCTATAGAAAGCCACATCCACCGGGTTCTGCGGAACACCGGGACTGAGCCAATCTAGGCAACTCGCGAATCTCTACATCAGGGTTCTCCGAGGAGCCTGCCTGGTCGCTTTACCGTATGACTCAATCGCTGACCATCTGACTCCTCGTCTGCGGCAAGAACACACGTCTCTTGGTAGTAAGACCACGCTTCAGGAGGTTGCATCTGCGATTGCCGGAACGAGCGATAGGTCTGCAGCTGTTGACCCCTGAGTGCCGCGTACGGTGTGCACGCACACACTTCGGCACTGGAGTACACGCCGCGTGTACGGGAGCTGTGGTGGGTCCGCGGCGGCCCCGGCGATACAATGACCCCTTGTCGCTCTTTCTGCATCGCCAACCGTCGCCGCCAAGCCGACTCCCGAAGTACAGCACAGTTCCACCTTCGTCGCAACATCGCAGTACCTCCGTCGGCAGGTAGCGTACAACGATGGCCCCTGCCAATCGAATGCCACCAGTAGAGTCTCGCTCGTCATACAGACCCAAGCACGCAGACACCATCACCATCACCATCGACGATTGGCTCTTTGCCCATCACCACCGCATTCAGAGTCGTGCCAGCGTCATGCAGCACAACTTCCGCCCCACCCCCTCCGCGCGAATCTGCCTGAGCGCATCCCTTCCTATGAAATCGCCCTTCCGCATCCTCACCGCGAACCCGATGCCCGCCTCATAAGGGTTGTACTCCGTGTGTATGTCGTTGCCCCACAGCCGGTAGCCCTTCTCCAGCCGCAGAGAGTCGAACGCTCCCCCGCCTGCCGCGACTACGCCGAGCGGCTGCCCCGCCTCCCAGAGAATATCCCACAGCCGCAGTCCCTGCTCTGACGGCGCGTATATCTCCCAGCCCAGCTCCCCCACATACGAGATACGCAGCGCAAGCGCGGGCACTTCGCCTAACGCTATCCGCTTCGCCCTCATGTACGGGAAACCCTCATTGCTCAGGTCGTCATCACAAATCCGGCTCAAGAGGTCTCGCGCACTGGGTCCCCACAAGCCGATACAGCACAGCGCTGCCGACACATCATCGACTCTCGCCGAGCCGTCCGCAGGCAGATGCGCCTCTATCCACGCCAGGTCGTGCAGTCCCATCGCGCCGCCCGTTACTACCATGAAGCGGTCTTCGTCCAGCCGCGTAACCGTCAGGTCGCACTTGATGCCGCCGCTCGGCGTAACCATCGATGTGTAAGTGATGCTCCCGACAGGCTTGTTCATCTGATTCGTGGCGAGGCGTTGTAGCGTGGCGAGGGCACCAAGACCCGTCACCTCGAACTTGGCGAACGGGGTCAGGTCGAACATCGCAACCCGCTCTCGCGTGGCGACATGTTCGGCGGCAACGGTTGGCGACCACTCCCGCGCCTCCCAGCCTGTGCGCGTCTCGCCCGTAACCGTCAGCGAATCTAGCAGCCCTTCGTTCGAGTCGTACCACTGCGGACGCTCCCAGCCCGCGTTCTCGAAGAATACGCCGCCCAGTTCCTGCTGCCGGGCGAAGAACGGCGTCAGTCGCAGGTTTCGCGGATTCTCCATCTGTTGGAGCGGGTGGATGATGTCATAGACTTCGCGGTACTGTTGCGCCGCGCGCGCCTTCACATAAGGGCGCGTGTATGCGTGAGGATGGAAGCGCCGAATATCGCACTCCCGCAGGTCGGTCGTTGGCTCACCGTTCACGATCCATTCGGCGACCGCCTTGCCCACGCCTCCCGCCTGCGTAATCCACACCGCCTGCGCCGACCAGAACCCCCGAACCTGCGGCGATTCGCCCAGCACCGGAAAGCCGTCAGTCGTGAACGAGAACATGCCGTTGAACTTGCGCGTCAGCCCCACGCCCTTCAGGCCGGGCAGCAATTCACCAGCCGCAGCCGCAGCCCTCTCGAAATGCTTTGGCGTGAACTCAGTCTCCGCAGGCGCAATCGGCGCGTCCTCGTGGTCGAGAATGTCCTCGGCGTCCACCAGAAGTGGTTCGTGGTTGTACGACCCTATGCCGTAAGACTCCCCAACCTGCCGGAAGTACATCGCCGCGTCCTGGTGCCGCAGAGAGAGGTTGCGTTATCTCTTCCGTCGCGCCCGCAAGTCCTCAAGGCAGTGGTGACGGCATAAAGGTGCTCCATAGGCGATAGCGGAATGGGCACCCCGCATACCCGCCAATCTTCGGCGCCCAGATGCCCGCGCATGCAATGACGAGTTCGGTCCTGATGTCCCCGTGCGAGGTCTGCACCGCGGTAATCCGCCCACCATCGATCCCGAAGCCCGTAACCTTCACGCCGCCGTAGAAACTTGCGCCGTTGCGCTCTGCTTCTTGCGCCATCGCCTCTGCGGGCCGCGTTGCCTTCGTCTGGATGTCGGACGGCACATACAGCGCACCAAGAATGCACTCCGACAGCATCGGAATGAACTCGCGCGCCTCGCTAGGGCTGATTACATGCCCCTCAATGCCCCAGCTCATCCCGTAGCCTGCCTTGCGCTTCAGATCGGCGAGGCGTTCCGGCGTCCACGCCACTTCGAGGCTGCCAACATTCTTCGCGCACGGCTCACCGTCGAGCTGCATCCCGCTCCACAGGTCAACCGTGTACTTGGCGAAGCCCGCCATAGTCTTGGAAGGGTTAACCTGGAAAACAAGGCCCGGCGCGTGGGAGGTCGAGCCGCCCGTCTCGAACAGCGGCCCCTGCTCGACCACGACAAGATCACGCCAGCCGAGCTTGGTGAGGTGATAGGCAACGCTGCAACCTACGATGCCCGCGCCAACGACGACGACTCTGGCATGCTTCGGAAGGGTGTTGTCAGACATGGTACCTATGTCTCTCAACCAAACCGTAGGTATAAAGTAAAGCCTATTCAGCCGATGCTAACATAGGAATGGCGCGCATGTAAGGGGGATTTGAACGGAATGTTAAACGAATTTTAAAAGCGAAAGTGAGAGGGATTAAATCGCGCTTAGTGATCCACCTTCGCATCTAACATCGCCGGTAACTCACCCGCACTCCCCAGCACCATCACCGGCTCATACTCCGCAAACTCCTCCCGCTCGGTAACGCCCGACAGCGCCGCCACGAAGCGCACGCCAGCTCGCAGCGCCGTCTCCGCATCCGTAACGCTGTCGCCCACATACAAACAGCGCTCTTTGGACGTGTTCAGCGCATCAACCGCCCGCAACAGCCCTGACGGGTCTGGCTTCGGCGTCTCCACATCCTCGACTCCCACGATAACCTTGAACTGCCCATCTAAACCTTCCCGTCGCAGTACCCGCGAGATGCGACACCGCCTCCCCGACGACACGATACCCAGCGTCATGCCATGTCCCAGAAGCGTATCCGCCAGCGACGGCACGAAATCCAAAATTGCCGTAGCGTCGGGCATCATCTTTTCAGCCATATCCAAGAATATCCGCATAAACTCTTCACCATGCCCCGCATATTCATCACCCGCCAGTGCCGTCAGCGTGTTGGGCAGTGACAGCCCTATCGTATGGCGTATCGCATCATCGGAAGCAGCAGGCAGACCCAGCCGCCCAAGTGCATAGTTCGCGCACTCGATTACGCCCTCAGACGAGTCTGCGAGTGTGTAGTCGAAATCGAAGATGACGCTCTGAATTCCCGGACTGATCATCATACTACCCATCCTGTTCACGCCACCTGCTCGTCCTGACCTTGTCGAGGGACGCGCCACACCTTCCCCTGATTACTGTAACTTCCACGGCCAAGTTCTCTCGAAATTCCAGCATCGTTCCACTTCAAATCTTATTCTGGGCAGAACGACGGACGTGAGATCCTCACACATGCAGGACATAAGAACTTCAGATTCTTAACGCAGAGGATCGAGTGAAGAATGACAGAATAAGCGGACTGTACAGTCAGTGGATGCCTTGCGAGGCAAGTATCATCGCACCCTAGTCGTTGTTGCCCTCGAAGAAGTCCAGGTCAATGGCGAAGGCAGAGGCGAGCATCAGCAGGCGAAACTCCTGGTCCGTGCTGCCGTCTGTGAACTGCACAACAAAGGTGTCGGCGTCAGTGAACATCTCGCGGCCGAATCCGCTCCACTGCTTGGTGACGCGCGCCATTTCGCCGCCACTCGCGTTCTTGGCTATGAAGGTGTGCGGGCGGAATAGCCCACTGGTCATTTGGGTGATTTCGCGCTCACTAGCGTCTACAAGCGAGAACTTGCGCCCCAATCCGAATAGGCGATTCAGCGTGCCGATCTGACTGCCGTCCACGCTGACCCGCAAGTGGGAGCGGAACCAGAAGAAGTCTCGGCTCGCATTCAGCACAGGGTTGTTGTTGCCGTCCACGACATGCATGGACAGTGCGCGGTGCGATCCCGCGAACTGGCGGCTCATGTTGCCTGACTCCTCGTACGCGTACATCAACTGCGCGCCGTCGGATGTGTGAATGCTGTAGCGATTTGCAGTCTCGAACGGCGTGAAAATCTCGAGCTGCTCAACCTGCTGCCGGATAACAAGTTCCGAATACCGCGTAAGGTCGGTCACGGTAATCTCCCTGAAATGCTTGTGGCGCCTGTACAGCGCCTATCTCTATATTATCAGGAAACAGAACTTGTTCTACGACAAACTAAGCAATATGCGCTGATTTCTGATATAAGGCGGTGGCTTGCGCCTCATATCAAGCGTCAAGGCGGATTCGAAGACGCTTGTTGATGCGCCCCTTGCTCTCGTGTCCGACAACGCTGATTGCGCCCACTTCACTGGTGTTGGCGACATGCGTTCCGCCATCCGCCTGCAGGTCAAGACCCGTGATGTTGACAGTGCGAATCTCGGTGATTGCGGGCGGCAGCAAGTTTATCTTGGTGCGTATCAGGTCGGGGATGCTGAAGGCTTCTTCACGAGGCAGAGTCTTGATTTCTATGCCACGCGCCGCCTGCACCTCTTCATTCCACCAACGTCTCCATGCGCTCGGCGAAATCTGCTGACATGTTCTCAAGCTCGAAATCCATGCGCGCGCTGCCGGGCTGCATGTTGCCCCCGGTAACCTGCGCGCCATAGTCGCGCCATACCACGCCACAGAGAATATGCAGCGCCGTGTGCGTGCGCATCAGCAGGTATCGGCGCTCCCAATCTAACGCGCCATGTACGCTTGCGCCGACGGGCGGCAGGTCGCCGTCAATCTCATGCACCAGTTTGCCGTCCTGCCGCAAAAGGCGCTTGACCGTGTATGACACCTCGCCTGCGATGAGCGCACCGCTGTCCGCAGGTTGACCGCCGCCGCCCGGGTAGAACGCCGTGCGGTCCAGTACAACGCCCTTTGGAGCGGTTTCGATAACAGTGGCGTCGAACTCGCGAAGGTAGCTGTCGTCGTAGCAGAGGATTTCTGTCATTATCTGCCTCTCGTAGATATATTGCGCAAGTGAATGCGTGTAAATCAGATGGCTGTAAGCAGGTAGTACTCTCTACAGAGCAACGGCAGGCCTCTGCTTTTCCAGAAGCCTGTCGCCTGCTGGAAGGCATAAGCCAATTGCAGCACGCTGAACTCACTCTGATGCCGCCCGACTATCTGCACGCCCACGGGTAAGCCATCATCGGTGAAGCCGCACGGCACCGAGATGGCGGGATGCCCGGTCGCGGTTATGTAGTAGCAGGAGCGCATCCAGTCGATGTATGTCTCCATCTGCACACCATTGACCTCTGTGAGGTACGGCTGAGTTACATCGAAAGGAGGATGCTGGCTGACCGGGAAGACCATGAACTCATAGGTCTCCATAAACTTGCGAACTCTCTCGTAGAGAGCGGCGCGCTTGACCTCCGCGATGCCCACATCGGCCGCAGTGAGCTTTAAGCCCTCTTCAATATTCCATATCACCGTGTCCTTAATCTGATCGCGGTACGTATTCAGCATATCCGCGCGAGTAGCGGCCATGCCGGCGGCTCGCGACACCATAAAAACCTCGTTGGCATCGCTGAAATCGGGACACGCTTCGTCTAAGTCGCAGCCTAGTTCCCCGAATGTGCCACGCTGACTCTCGATGACTGACACAATGCGCCGGTCAACGGGCAGACCGCCCATGTCGCTGCTCCACGCTATACGAACGCCATCGAAGTCGCGCTCCAGCGAGTGCATTAGCGGATTGAAGGACTCACTACGTCCGTCAAGGCAATGGGCGAGCGCGCATCGGGTCCTGCGATGGCGCTGAGCATCAGAGCGGTGTCCTGCACTGTCCGAGCCATAGGCCCCTGCACCGACAGCAGTGACCAGGGCATCTGTGA